GGGAAACAACTATTTAACTGGGCTTTATAATTGAAGGTCCTAATGAGGCTAAGACAAGTGTGTTCCTGAGAGGATTTTTCTGCAGCCATCATGGATGACAGGGTCATGTTGAAGCCGCCCAAGAGCCTAACCACGGTGCCACCAGAGCTCCTTGATCCAACGGAAGTGGGTGGGTCCTTGTGAAGAAAAGATATGGCACGAGTGATGGCTCAGCAGTGTGCAGAGAAGGAGACACAAGAAGGGAGCAGGCACCCGCCTGCTGGAGTGCGTTGAGCTGGGCTCTTGAATAGTTGCACTTTCTATGGCTCTCATTCAGAAGGGTTAGTTGCTGAGCCCACACTGAATGGAGTGCAGGCTCCAGAGAGGTAGGAAAAGATTTCTCAAGAATGAATGAGACTTTCCTGTGGAATTTCCTTTCCAGAAAGATGTTGATGAGTCAGAGGAGTGGGTGGGTTCCCCTCCTACACCCAATTGTTTGAAGCAGAACTGTTTGCTGTGGAAGATGCACCAGCAGGAGTACTGGCCACCTGCTCTTGCTCTCTAACTATTTCCAACATGGACTCTTGGCTTGCAAACTAACCCCAAGGCAATCAGTTGAATTGCCTTCTTACTGGAGACAGAAATAGGCAAGCACTGGGTACTAATGGAACAATTAGTGGGGGTTCAAACCCATCTGGAAGTACCTTGGAAGACAGGACTGGTGAAAGTTCACAGTTCACTTCTACTCTGCATGCATGAAAGTCCTCACCAGTTGGACCTGACTGGATGACAACTGCTTGTGTTCTTGTTGTTGCACAATAGCATGGTACAAAGCCCTGATGGCATTAAAGTACATGTAGCAACCACTCCAGTATGGCAGCAACCAATCAAAATGTGCTAGGGCAGTGGTCACAGCTCTGATGGTCCCTTACTGGACCCAAGCTAATCCCTTGGTTGTTGGATGACGGCGTGGTCCAGAGAGCTGAGGAATGGGGGTGACATGACCAAGGAGATGTAGGCCTTTGGGGCTTGAAGAAAGATTATATCCCTATTCTAGTAGCAGGTGGGGCAAGGCACACTGACTGTCTTGAAGTCATCAGAGTATCCTGGTGTCCACATGTTCTTGCTCTCGGGACAGTGGACAAGGCATTGGGCCTCTAGCTCTCAGTTTCCCACCCATTGGTTAATTGTTGAAAGGTTTAAAGATAATGTGTGCAGCACAGTTAATAGTTAGGATGCATAGTATGTGCTCAGCGAATCATACCTATACTTTGATACATTGAATCGCTTTCCAAAACATTTCCATGATTTGAATTCAGTTGGCTATCCCTGTAGCTACATTGAAGTTAGCTTTGACAGCGAGGCCATTTTCTTGCGAGATGGCAACAGCATAAAGAAAATATCTAGATCCCTAACTGGTCTAATGAAAGAATGACCACCCAGCCCTTCCTCTCTTCTTAATTCCTTTCCATCTTCTTTCCTTCCTTTAACATTTATTGACAGCTTCTTTTATACCATGCTCTAGGGTATGTGCTGAGGGATACACAAAAGATAAACAAGACACAGATAAAGCATAGTTTCTAGATCAAAATGAGAGCACTGTGATTCACATACACCTAAGAGCTTCTGAGCATGTGCACAGTAACACGCATATTTTCCATCAAAGGGGAAGTCTTGGCTGACTACTACTTTTGTGAGGATATGCCAATGGGATGGGCAGAGGGATCTTTCCAGGTAAAAATCCACCTTCAATCTCACTCTTTTTCTTGTTGATACTTTTTTTGTTGCTGCTTACAAAGGACTGCGCAAGAAGAATCTAGAATTCAGGGAGATGGAACTTATGAGCAAGATCACAAAGAAGGCATTCCCATGGGCACAT